GGTTTAGGGTTTGGGGTTCAGGGGGCTTCGGGGTGTCAGTTTTTTGGCCTCAACAAGGACCTTGAAGCCTTGAATTCCGAAACCAAATGCGGAAACCACTCCGAGCCGAGACTCCAAGGACTTGAGCAGCGGCTCCATGAGACTTCCTGCAGGAAGAGATTGTTTTCTTGCCTTGGGCCTTGGGAATAGGAGGGTATAGGAGGCGCTGTTGAAATGTTGTCTCGTGACTTTGAAGGTTTAGGTAGAAGGCAGTACAGGCACCTTGGCCACTGACGGACCTGGCAGCGGAGAGCAGGTGCCAGGCCTCGGAACGGCAATCAGTGGGCGAACTCGCGGTCGTCATTTGCAGCTTTTCTTTGGTTTGCTTTGACACGAAGGAGCTGGGGTCTCTCTCTAGCGCCCTGAGCCCCGAGCAACTGCCACACCCCTCTTGTCTCCCAAGTCCTTCCAGCGTGCTAGCGCCTGAGATGCCATGCTAAACAGGTGCAGTTCTTTCTGCGTCTCTCTTGCGCGTCTTTCAGAGCTGGGCCTGCTGAGCAAGCCGCTCACCTTCAAGACCATCACCCTCCTGCAAGTGGCCGAAACTCAAGACACCTGCGGTCTCATCGAACAGCAAAGCTACTTCGTCGAGTGCAGTCCTGGATGCAGGCTTGTGTAAGAGCCGCTTCACATTTTGCCAGACAGCTGCTCCTTCCAAGCCTGCAGCTCCCGGCTTCCGGAAGACTCTGCCGGGCAACAAACAACTTCAGGCCAAGAAGCTCTTCGAAGGTCTGGCTCGCGGTCGACGCGTGCTCCTGCGGGCTTCTGATTTCCGCCCCGCTTCCCGTCTAAGGAGGGCCGAGACCCCAAAAAGCCTCCGGAATCCGGCAAACTCAGCCCCACCAGAAGCAGATTCTCAGCACCTTCAGCTCGCTTGACTTGCCAAGTGCCAGCATCAGCTCGGCCCACATCAAGTGAGCGTAGGCCTTGCTGCCATTTACTTCCCCCAGGCCGGATTCAGGATGCAGAATGATTTTCAACCTAAAAGACAGCTGCGTCATTCGAGCGTATCCCAGCAATCCAACCCCTAATGGTGCTGTCACTGCCGGGTCCCCATCACGGCTCTCTACGACCGTTGCCGAAACCCCTGCTCCCGCTCCTATACCTGCTTTTGCTACAGCCGTCCCCCAAAAAACATCCGCATGGCTGTTTCAGTGCAACGGGTGCCTGCATGAGCGCGTCTCCCTGCTGCGATGCCTCCAGCTGTTCGCTGGCGAGGCCGATGGCGCCCTCAGGCTGGCCAGAAGATGATACTCAGATAGGGTTTATACCAGGAGTTCTACTCGGGTTACCACAAGAGCATAATATAGGGGCATACTGCATGCTGTATACTGTAAGTGTGACGACGACTACGAATACTGTTGCTTTGCAGATTGACAAGAGACGGCATACGAATAGAACAGCCGACAGTTGTCACACATCAGCCATACATGCTGGTTGCTCCCCACAGGCTCCTCGATATCACCGCTGCTGAAGGTGGCACTGACCTTGATTAGCACGGAAGACGATCGGGCAATGCTGGACATGGGGCAAGCTGGGCATGCTTCCCTGTCCCATTCACGGTCATGCTCTAGCTTGGCACGACCGGTGCGGCTGGAACAAGCAGAATATACTGCACCGCACAAAGCACCCCTGAGAAGCAAGGCATGTTAACGATTCGTGGGGCGGTCTGATCCAAGAGCTCGACCACCAAGCGAGATGCGTCTGCGGCATTGTCAGACTCCCCAGCCGCATCGAAGGCAGTTGTTGCTTTCCTGTGAGAGCAGCAAAGATCGCGGTTTGTACCGGTCTGTGGGCCGTGAGCTTACCAGCAACTCTCACACAACTGGCCGACCAAATTTCAGCCATGCATGCCTTGGATTTGAAAACCTCCCGTAGAAGAAACTGGCACTTAATTGTTCGATTAAAGCTCAAGAAGCACCAACGGGCACATCGTCCTGGCCAGCTCTAGCGCTTCTTCTGCATCCGATTCGAGAATGTCCAGTGCTCTCCACAGCCACCTGGTGCTGTGCTGTTTGCAGACCGCTCTTCGGTTACTTCGGCAGGGCCTTTGCGCTTCGACGTTGGCACCGGTAAGCTGCGTGATGCTGCCCAGCATCGACATGGTGGGCTACCATGCTCTCACGAGACAAGCGCTGGGTTTTTGCGGGACTGGTCGTGAGCTGAGAACTTGTGCTGGTGCTGGCAAGGATGCACACTGAGCTGTTCACAAGGCTAACTTTCAGATGCAAAATGAAGTGCTTGGGGATGGCCACAAGACCAATGGCTGCTCACGGAACATGGCCACAATGAGGAGCATCTCCTAAGGGCCTTAGGGGAGCACGGGCCCTATGGAAACCCTACGCCGAGAATCCCTGACATCCCTCGAATTCCCCCGAAGCTCCAGGTCGGAACCGCGACAAGCCAAACCTCCCCAAGCTATGGAGTTCTGTCATGGATCCCTTCCTCACGACAAACCCTTGGTGCATGTGTGGGTTTTCGGCAAACATCGCAGCTTTGGCTTGGCTGTACACAGCAAGCTGGACATAGCTGGACATAGCATCCGCGATGCAGAACTCCCAAATCCACTGCAGCGGCCAAAGCCATTTAAAAGACTTCGCAGGCTGCGGCTTCGCGGCTCTTTGACACGCGTCGGTCTGCGAACTTCAGCAGAGGTACAGAGGCTACTTCGGCAAGCCGAGTCTGACCTTGGCCGGAAAGAAGACGGAAGGCCACGACAAAGCCGACAAAGCAGGACTTCGAACCCTGGGGCCGAGGCTTTCAGATCTTTGAACTCGACGTACAGCTTCTCCTGCACAACTCACTGAAAAGCAACAATATGACACCAAGCATGCGTCACATCATCCACCTCGCCCGCCCAACGAATGGCGACCTCGGCATTCAGTGACATAGAGGGCCACTCTGGCTTGAAAGCCGCACGTCAAATGCTCCAAGCCTGCCCCTGCCCGTATTGTGCTGTGAACAAAACAACTTCCGCAGCTACAACGACTGCTAGGCGACTACAGCGGCGACACGACTACCACGAGAACGAGGAGGAGGAGGAGGAGGGGGAGGAGAATGACGAGGACGACGGCATGAATGACAGAAACTGCATGTGTGAGGAGCACCTATCATGCCTCGAGTAGAAACACTAAGCATGTTCGCCAATCACAGCGAGCCGCATCAAAGCCCAAGTTGACAGGCTCTGTGAAGCCCCGCAATCGTGGGTCCATCTGGCATTCTCATGGCCATCTTGAAGAAAACTCACAGCTGCACTAGTCCCCTCCGAACCTCCCGCAAGTCTTCCGGGACGAGCTGCACCTTCACCACATTTGCAATCTGGTCCTCAGCAGTCATGCCTCCAACAACATTGAAACGGATCGCTCCGTCCCTAGACCGTCCTTGAAACAGCTCAGGTATCCTCTGAAGACACTTCACATCTCTGAAGACCCCCGGGCGAGCCAGGCTGCTAACATGCCATCGACGATGACGGCTTCGATCCCTTTGACCTTGGCATGTGGACACCACAGAGATCCACAATACCAAGTGCAAAGGGCACCGGGGCTGAGGCATAGCGGCGATCGGTAAACTGCATCCAAAGGACCAGCATGACCCTGAGAGGATTCGCCGGTGGTCCCCAGGCCAGCCGAAGTCATGGAGAAACAATCCGGAAACCGAAATCCTAGCCGCGACCAGCCTGATCTCAGGTAGCCAGATCCCGCTGCTGTATGTTCCCGCTGCAAGCTCGATCGGAATCACCTCGCAGGCTCCAGCTCTGCAGCTCTGAGGACTAGGACTTAGGAACCCGTTCTTTGCGGCGCCGCCAGGTGGCCAAGGGGACCACTTGATCTTCGAAGCAGTCGTTGAAGAGTTCTGCGCGCGAAAGCATGGCAGTGAAATGCTGAAATGTCTCGGCTACACCATAGAAGAGACGAAACACCCCACCCCCAAGGATGAAGAAAACGGACCACCAAAGTCGTCCGGAGCTGCCCCTCCTCGCAGTGGCAGCTCCAGAAGGTGGAGGATCCAAGGCAGCGGGTGCAGCCAATTCAGCGGCCTTGTGGGAGTCATCCACTCGGAGAGGATGTAGTCTCGGAAGATCTCCGCCGCGCGGACTTCTTCAAGCAGCCCACTGGGCCACTCAAAAATCACCCCTTGAGGCTCAAAAGCCTCATACTCTGCTCTGGGCTCTGGGGACTCGGCGAGGAACTGTACAGAGGGAGGCGGGGGCGGATCTGGACACTCCGGATCCTGGGGTGCTTGCTGGCACTCTTGAACCTGAGTCCGGAGGGGCACCACAGGCAGAGAAGTCCGCTGCCAGGCATCTGTGTTCACTTTGTTGAACCAGGCCACCACGTTGCTCCGAACTCGCTTCCGCACGTAGCCCCCCAGACCGGCACCAACCCCAGCAAAGCAGCCGGTGAAACAGGCGAGCGGCAGGATACTGTGCACGCCGGCCGCGAGGCAGGAAAAAGAAAGGCAAGACATACCCGCCAGTATCCCAGTCGCAGCTTCACAGAAGTTGTTCTTCCAGCTTGGCCCGTCGGGCTCCGAGGTTCGCAAGGGCAGCTGAAAGTTGCATGGGTTCAGAGGCATCTGTCCATGAGTCGCTCGAACTCCTGGCAAGGAATCCTGTATCGCCCTTGCAAAGCAAGCGCTCGGAACTGTGCTGGGAAGGCTCTGGGAGACCATCGGGGGACAAAGAATATAAAACATTCGGCAGGCCGCAGAGGAGTGGTACCACTCGTCAACTGCCCAGTTCGTGAGGTCCGTCATATACTTGACCACAAAGGGGGACGAAAGGAAGAGGTAGTCCAGCACTCCATGCAGGGCCTCGTTGGCCTTTGTGATCTTCACATCTTCAAACGCGCGCCGAAGGCCACGACGCTTCTTTCGGGTGCAGGCGGAAGGCAGCTCTTCCTCGAGGCCCCGGGTCACCCAGCGCTGGTTGCCGAAAGCATCGAAGTCCAGCAAGTGGATGCACCTCAGCGAAGCGCTAATTCAAGTCTGCCCAAAGTTTTCAGGACTTGGGCCGGGAGGCGGTGCTGCGGTTTGAACTAAGGCACACATCCAACAACCCTCCCGCCAAAGAGGCCGCTCTAGGCTGCATCAGCATGTCGGAATCTACAGATACAATGACCCAGTCTTCCATGGCTCCAGCAGAGAGCGCCAAAGCCGAGGAGGTTGCTGTGATCTCCACCCACCGCGTCTTACAGATGGCTCGGACTGCATGGGCATAGTGACCGTGGTTCACCATGAGACCAAAGGAAATGATGTCCACCCCCGGGAGAAGTTCGGCAACTCTTGCGAGGGCACCGTCTGCACTGGCCACATCCCGCCATCTCTTTAGCAGGTTCAGCGCCTTCACCGCCTCTCGGTGGTCACCTTTTGCCTCTGCCAGAAGAGCTGCGATCAGGTTCGTGCCAGGTAGCCTCAGCAGGGTGCAAACCTCCCCTCTGTCACTGAAGTGGAGCTTCTGCTTCAAAGTGCTTCAACGAAGTGCAACCTTTGCACATCCTTCAACGTCCGGTACTGTTGCGAAGCTTCGGACGACACAACCAAAGCGGCAATCTAAGATCATCCTGCATTGATAGCCCTGACATGCACTCGAGATTCTAGAATACTTAGAATGCGTGAAAAGCTACATCAACATGTGCAAGTCATAGTATTCTACAGCGATTGCACTCCAAGCCGTGGCAGTAACAGTTCGGGCTCGACTGTGCTGGCGATGCTTGTCGCGAAGAGGAAGTGACGACACTCTCAAGCACAGCAAACACGCAGGATACGCAGGACGGGACTTCAACCCCCCCAGTTCCCAAAGGTGCTTGGCCAGGCAGCAGCTGCGCCAGCTGAGTGATCGCCCCCTTCCGGCCAACCATCCGGTGCAGGGAGAAGGCCCGGGCGCGCTCCGCCTCGGCGTCCAAGCCCCGGAACTTGTGAATGCAGCAGATCGTGTCCGCCAGGCCGGGGATGTGCTCCCCAAACTTGGTGATGTAGCCGTTCGCACCCAAGGGGTTCTTTCGGCGAGCCCTCCTGAACTCCTCGGAGCGGCCCGTGGCCCGGTGCAGCGTCTGCATGACCTGGGCCGAAGAGGACCCCACTGATCCCACCCCACACCGAGAACAAGGAAGAAAGGAACCCCACATCAGCACTAATCACTACTAAAACTCGACCCAGTGACATTGTTGAGAAGCGGCACGTGCTCTGCGCCCCGCGCCAGCCGCCCCGAGGCCCGCAAAGGGTTCGACGCCCGGGCCCGAAGAAGGGATTCCTCCCCCAACTATAGCAGGCATATATGGACCATATATAGAGTAGCACTCACAGGAATGACCAAGAGAGGCCTGAGATAGTGCAAAAGAAAGTCAAGACGAGCTCCGACCCCGAAGACTACCTGTCGCGCTCTGCCGCCCTGATCTCGTGGCCGCCGACCTAAAGCTAGCGCTCCTTGAAGATATTGTGTGTGTGTGTGTGTTGTTGTGTCTGCCAGCGCCGGTTACGAGTACGCAAAGAAAAGGTTGAAGCCGTTCCTTCACTCCGGTCCTCGTCGCCGGCCCGGATGTGCAGAGCCTGCATGACATTGTTCAAGATGGGCAGCTTCTCCAGTGCTCGGCCAAAGAGTCCGTTCCTCAGGAGGTCCGGGGAGTCCTGAAGACAGGGGAGCCGGGAGCTCTCAATTTTGTCTGATTCGAGTTTTGAAGGCAGCGCCTCTTCCCAAAGTGATTCGCGGGATTCCAGGGACTCTTCCTCGTCCTCGAGGGGGTCGAAGAAGCGTTCGTTGGCCTCCATCGCACCCAACCTCGCATCCTGAGATCTGGTGAGCAAAACACGCTGCTGGTGCTTAGATGTTGCTTCTTGTCTCTAGGCTGCTCATTGGTTCCCTTGGTTCTTCCTTATTGCGTCTGTTGCTGAATGAAAAGTTGCTCGTTGGTTCCCTTGGTTCTGCTTTCTTGCTTCTGTTGCTGAATTAGTCATGCTTTGAGCCTTGCGGGGAATCAGGTTGACAAGACTTGGCAACATGTTCTCAGAGCGGCAGGGTACCATGGGGCTTCATCGTGCAGACTGCCACAGCCTCTTAGAATTCGGCGCTCTTGGAGTCAAGGTGAAACGCTTTGTACACGGACCATCGCCATCTAGAAAAACTCCTGACAGCAGAGAGGCCACGCACAACGCTGCGCGAAACTGCGGAGTGAGGCAGCACGGCCCAGCCTCTTGATCGCGATCGTTCGGAGCCAACTTGGCTGATGAAGATGCGCTTGTCCCGGCTTTGGGGTAGCCAGCCTTGGCGAACGAAGCTGTCAAACAGTATAACGGTTTAGTATAACGGCAGTAATCTAAAAATCAACAGTGTGGATGTCTACTTGCGTATGTGGTAATTGCATGCAAAAGTGTGTCTGTGTGCAGAGATAGATAGAGATAGATAGAGATAGACAAAGATAGATAGAGATAGATAGATAGAGACAGATAGAGATAGATAGAGATAGATAGAGACACAGACAGATAGATAGATAGAGAGATAGATAGATATACAGCACAACATATGGCATATACATATAATACATATTAGTCTCACACACACATGCACGCAGATCAACGCATATGCACACCTATACGTATAGAGAGAGGTACACATGAATCGCATATTGATACTAATTACATACCTCTTCCTGTGCTTTTCTTCCGGCCCTGAGCATAGCTTTCTGGGACGCAACGAACACCGCAAGAAGCCACACGAAACCCTAGCGAACGGGGTGTTGAGGACTGCGATGTTGTCTCACGTCTCGTTGCCGGCGGTCCCTATGGTTGTCCCAGCTCGCGACACATCTGCACAAGATCCCAGAGAGCGAACGCGACAACACTACCACCTTGTTGCAGGGAAGTCGACCTTTCAAAGGTAAGTTTGCTCGATGCTGGGCATTCACCTAGCTGCTCAATGGCACAAATTGGGACAACTGAACTTTGGGCCCGCGAAGAATGTCCTCGCGGTACTCATGAAGTGTTGTGATGTCGAACAACCGCCGATAAATGGCGTTGACCCTCGCAAGCTTCAAGATTGAGAAGGGAACGGCTTCCAAAGATTTCCGAACGGTGCTCAGGGTCAGACGCCTTCCACGCGGCCGCCTTTCGCCTGCAGTGGAGGGACTTTTGGGTCTCCGGTTCAGGTGTTTGGGTCTAGCAGTCTCGCGCCGATCTTCGGCTAACGACCTCCCCTTCGCAAGTTCAGCTCGAACGCAAAAGCCGATGAAATGCTTGCCATTGCTTGATGCTCCTTCATGCCACTCTACTTCCAACGCGAACCCACCTACATATCCTGAGAATCTTTGCTGCAAACACTCTTCCGCAACGATAATAAAGCCTGTCACAGTCAGCATCAACTCCCAAAAATATAGCTCTGAGGCCTCAACATCTAGCAAGATTGTCTCGGCCTGACCAAAGGTGCATGGTGCGCTACAGCATTGCAGTGTCGGCGGCTGCACCACATTGCATTCGAAGGGACTCCCATTTTGCATCATCGAAGCAGACCACAGTCGCTCCTACCAGCCCCAGCCTCTGCGTCTCCTTGCGCCACACCAACCCGGGTGCGCTTGTGAGCGTAATGGTCACAGAACCTCCGCGAGCTTCTTGGGACTTGACAAGCGACCGTCCAATGGCCCAGCTTACTTGGCCCCTGACCAATCCACGAAAGCCGTCTTCCGCTCCTGCATCCACGAGTGCCCGACTCTTTTACATAGCTAGAGACCCAGCAGTACAGGCACAAAGTTTGGCCACCTCGATCGAAGCAGATGGGTCAGCTTTGAGGTGTTCCAGGATAGCGTCGTGAGCCTCACGCGAGCGCGCACAGACACACGAAACCGGCGCTTTTGTGCGTCTCGCTGCCTCAGCGGGGCCCTTGGTAAACTGCAAGGAAGACCTCGGACAGGAGAGGTCGACGAGACCCTTCAGGCACCTCCCAGAGGCTTAAGGAGACAGCCCAGAGGCGTTGTCGTAGACATGCAGCCTGCTCGGAACTCTGGAAAACAGCCAACCTTTTCTGTTACCTTCTGAGCGCTGGACAGGCTCTTGTTTGCACAAGCCTTCGCCTCGAGCACATCGGTGCGGGCAATGGGAGGGCTTGGGAATGCTTTGCCGCGCTCTTGGGTGACGTCGACGAGAACAGGGCACAGGGGCCGCGGCGCGCTCAGCGAACTGGGCAGGGTCAGAGATGAAAAGCTGCTTCGCCTGAATCGGCCCGACATCTTTGCTATGCACCGGAAATCACCGGCCCAACCACCACCAGCATCACTTTCGTGGCATGATGTGTCAAGGCTAGGCCACGCCAAGGCCTCTTGATTCAGGGCCGGCCGAGCATTGCTGGAAAAGTACCTCTGACCCACCATGCAGCTGCTGAGTCTGACAGCTTGGATCTTAAAGGGCACTCCCTGCGCAGGAAGGCCCTGTGAAGATGAGGCCTGGCATTCAGGCCAGCTGTCGAAAAATGAAATGTCAGTGAAGCCCGGATGATGGAAAGGGCCCGGCAGTGCGAAAGCAGCAAAGTCTCGTCCGGGGCGCCTGGCACCAAAGGCGCAGCATGCTAGCACACACCTGCCTCATCGCCGCAGTAGCAGCGCCAGCACCACGACGTTCACGACCACCACCAGCCGAGACTGCAGTGTAATCACAGAACATTTACCCCCTGAATCAACGACACAGTCACAACGAAGTCAAAATCAGAAGGTCCAGTCAACTTGGTTCCCTCCAAGCACGGCCGACCGACCACTCCGGAAACAACGATCCGAGCTCCACTTGCCCGGTCTTGGGGTCGACCTTTGGCGGAGTCTATCAGTGACTGGTGAATTTGCCAGTATGGTTTCAATCACTGCCGAAAGAACAAGTGAGCATTGCACACTGAGAACGTCTCTTAGTTTCATCACCATCCGCGTGACCTTTCCTGCTTTTGACCAGCGACCACCACAATCACCTTTGCCAGCACGACTTGTAAAATCATCCAATTGCTTGGGGCTCCAATTCCCCCCATCCAGTGCATCACGACGACGACTAGAGCCACGAAAAGTTTTACCAGATTCTACCACTTCCACGACTTCGACAATTATCGGCACTATCACGCCACAACCAGGAAACCGTCCATCACCACTGATGTTACTCCCACCCGCCACAACTAGAAATTGCCACTAAAAGCACCGCCAACACTACCACCGAAACCGCTACCGCAACCAGTGCCATTACCACAAGCCTGACGATGACAACGACGACGATGACGATGTACGTTTTCCTGCAGTGATTATTCTGTGTGTACTGTCGGTCCTGAGTTTGCTTCACCCCATATCGCTGCTTGGTTATTTGTCGCGCTCTTGTTGTGCTTGTTGACGCTATTTTTTGCGTCGTTGTTGCTACCATCTGTCATAGTCGTCATCAATGTTACAGCCCTGCCACGAAACCCACCTTATCAGCCGCTTTGCTATTGAATGATGGTGCCTCCGTCGTCTTCCCGTCTTTCTTGCCAATATCATGGCTGATGTGATGTATCTGATCTGAGACTTTCCATTTTACTCGTTAGTAAGACTCCTCTCACTTTTTATGTTCGTCGTGTTGACGATCACTACAAGGGAATCCTCAAGCTCTTCACCAATGCGATTGAAAGTTGAATTTTCGCAAGCTGGAACTCGCGACAATGGCTTTTCAAAGGACAGCGCATCACAGTACGATCCATCAAGACGCCAGGCTCCCTTTGAGAGGCCTTCAACTATTTAATTCAACTTGAAGGTGGGATTTGCACATACAAAGCCCCATGCATGCAACGCCAGAATACCCCGCTACAAGAACTTGTCCTTACAGACGCAGGGGTGACTCAGCCACCCCCAGCTCCATACGGAGTGGGTAGATCTGTGCATGTCATTGCAAGATCGCATGCTATGCCGGGGTGTCTTTGCCCGAGGCGCTGGAGAAACTTTTCAACGTCGGCCTCAAAGTCCTTGTGACGCCGATGTTCATGCAGAAAATTTGACCGCTGAAGTTCTGCCAACTGCTCCAGCTCGAATATCATGCTTTCTTGGCACTGCAGCTTCCGTCGAAGTTCGTCTGCAGCTTCTTGCTCCTCTGAGAACATGAACCGAGCCACCTCCAGCTCAGTACGGAGCTTCTGTACGGGGCTCGGCTCCTCCCGAACACTGAGCTGCGTTGCGGCACGCTCCATGAGTGCTCGCAATAGCTGCGTCTCGCTCTCTCTCTCCTCTTTCTGCTGCTGCAGGACAGCACGGGCCTTTTCCAGTTCCATGTCCAGTTCCTCCAGCTCAACTCTTTGCGAGTCGAGTTGTTCTTTCATATAATGCTGTTGCTTTTCTCTCGATCGCTTCTCATCCTTGAGTTGGGCTTGCAGCTCCTCACAGACTCTTTGGGAATGATGCAACATGTATCTGGTCTCCTCCAAAGAACTTTGCAGCTGACTAATTTCTTCCTCCAGTGCGCTTTGCTTTCTTTCCATGTAGAGCCGGTTGGCAAGGAGAGCTTCGAAAAGTTCCGTCTCTGTTTCTTTCTGCGCAGCACTGCGCGAGTCTGACTTGCTGAAGGACTCGTCTGGAACCACTCTCTGGCAGTTCTTTGCTTTCGACTGCCGCGGCGGCTCGCAGAACCATTGCGACGCACCGGCGAGTTTTGTCCACATCGAGGCCATGCTCGCAGGGTGGAGTGCTGAGTCTGTCACGACCCCAACCAACACATGAGCTCCGAAGCTTGGAATCCTCTTTCTTGGCACCTACACAGACAGTTAGAAGCCCTCCAAAGGATGCATGAAGTTCCAGCCACTTTGCGCGCCAAAGGCTCACGGAAAAGGTCGACACACTGTCCATGCCTTACAGATGGGTTGGAGGTAGGAACTATGCTTTCTTGATGGGTTTGGTCTCGAAATGTCTCGAACGTAGCATGTTAGGTGTGACGGCTTCAATGCTTCCGCGCGCTTGTCGGCTGCAACTCTTGGCCCTGGCAACTGCGCCATCATGCGAATGTAATCTGCCCTGATGGCAACTTAGCTACTTGCTTCAGGGTCAGACGTGACGTAGGCCGACTCGGCCATGTAGACTCGGCCATGCGACCAGCTTAGCTATGTTGCTTATGTTGCGCAGGAGACCTTATGGTACGGGGGGAGGGGCCCCCCGCTCCCCCCCTTTAAAACGGACCAGATAAGGTCCTGCGCGATTTTTTGATTTAGATCTCTCCTACCTAAGTGAATGGTAAACGACAACTCCCGCAAGCTCCAGAGAGCTAGCTTTCGTGACAAGTGGCTACGGTGACTACAGTGTCTTTCGCTCGTTGCGGTCACGGAACCTGCTCCGGTGCCGGCGAGGCCTCTGTCAACCTGGTACCGCAATGTACCACAGAACTCGGGAACTGGCCATTGGATGGAAGACGTCCGAGGTGAAGAAGAGATCTCGGCAGGCACTTTGTGCAATTTTCTAGGCACCATGCACACCCCACCGCAGCCGACAGACTGAGAGTGCTGCCGGGGCCTTGGTCGGGATACTCCTCCGGCAGGACCAGGCGGAATCTTAGCATCGCGCTGCCACAGCAGGGTCACCAGGGCTTTATGCCAAAAGCCACAGAACCATATGGCCACTGATCCAAATTGAGGCCATGCAAAGAAACACAATTCAACACAACACATGCCATCGCTCCTGACTTGCTCAATGGAAGGGCATGCCAGAGAATTCACTCCCGGGCACGAGGCTTGAAGACTGCCCCCTTGTAGAGGCCCTGCTTGATGAAGAGAGCGCCCTGCCTCTCTTGGCTACTGCAGAGTTTTGATTTCGGGAAGCCTTGCGCCGTCTTACAAAGCAAAGAAGGGGCACCAGGTTAGCACGGAGTCGAAGCAGGGGAGCACATACATGCCCGACGGCAGAAGGTCCTCGCCAGCTCATGCGCAATGTGCTTCTGACAATCAGTCTTCAGTATTGCTAACGAGTGGGTCTGGCAAGAGTCTTCGCCCAAAAGCAGCCTGTTTTGCCAATCGATAGCTGCACTTTGGCAGAGGGCACAGCTGGCAAACCCAACCCATGCCAAATCTCAGAGGAGAACTGTGGCAGTGCCCAAGTGGATTCTTGCCACTACCTCCCGTTCCCTGCCCGAGTGCCAAGTGCACTATGGCAAGGAGGCCAGCACACCGTGGCAGGCGCCGATAAACTCGCAGAGCTCCGGCCTGCCCACAGCAGGCTTCCTTCCCGGGAAACCACCAGCAGCCCATGGCAACCAAGGGGCTGAGTGGAGATCTTCCGGTTCACCCAGCTCGAAGGATCCTGGGACTTGCCATCATCAGCTGCTTTCCTTCGATGGCACAGGGAGAGGTCGAAAAGATGGACGCTCCAGCGAAAACAATGGAGTCAGGATGCAGGTACTTGGAAAAGTTCTGGTCAGATAGACCCAGCTTGTCGGCTCCTGCAACGCCTGCAAGGAGCATGCTAGCGTCGAAGTCAGACTGGGGCAGAGCCCTGGCAACTGGCCGACCATCCGAAAGACAGGACAGGACAAGACTCAAACGGTCCGTCCTGCCAGGTGCGCCGTCGCCACGAAGCCGCTTCTGAACTTTGTCAGGCGCTCAGCCGCCGTGGAGAATCGATAGGGTCTGGCGCAGAACCTCTCTCTCCAGGGAGCTATCGTTGTAGCATAAATGATGACCATGGCAGCGTAGTGACATGCCCTTGGTCATACCCGCAAAAACAGGATAAGGCCCGGACTCCACCGGGCGGCCTTGCCTGAAGTTGACACATGACAGACGGTGCAACACGCCGCAGAGAGAGCTGGATGTAACCAGTCAAAACTTGGCATCACGCATGTGAGTTTTGGGGCCTTTCGTGTCTTCCGTCGCTTCCTCTCCTGGGGGCACGACATAGCGCGAAACACTTCTACTACCTGGTCGCCACAAAACGAACGGCTCTGACGATATCGCCAGGGATCGCAGGACCAAGCCGACACGTGCAGAGGATCTCACCGGATCTGTGCGCGGAGCTTCTGCTCTTTCCAGTCTCAGCCCCTGTGTGTCCAATGCAGACAGCTCTGCAGCCTAAGCTGTCCTTGATTATCGGAATAGAAACGGCAATCGCGAGCTCACAGACCCTAAGCTAATTCAGGCAAGCGGCACTGCGACCATCTGCAAAGGCAGCTATGGAGGCCTTGCCTAAGACGCAGGAAACCATTTTGCCGTCACATCAACATGTCCAACAGAATGACCCTATCCCAACGTAAAGCCCTAAACCCTAATCACCCAATCCAAGAAACCGTTCAGTTCCAGAATTTTGTCCACGACCAGGCAGGGGCCCTCCGTAAGCTTGCCGGCCGCATCCGCCACGGAACGCAGCAGGAGGCCAGCGTAGACGTTGCCATCCTTGTCGCCACAAGCCAGGTCCATGCCCTTGAAGCTGCCACTTTTGTAGCTTCCACCTTTCTTGTGAAAGTACCACACTCCGCAGCTCGCCTGCCTAGGTCTCACAGATCTCCAGGCAATCGCCCTGACTCACAATCTCTCTCCGATGCCCGGCTACCCTTCGTCGCCATGAGCATAGGGATCGGCATGATTGGGTGAGTGGACATATGCTTCGAGCTCCGCGATGCGGAAGCGCTTCTCGGCAATCCTCGGCGGACAGCGTATCGGGCTTCTGCACAAGAGTCACAAGAGCATGTCTTGCAAGCACAAAGACTATAGTCATCTTCAGTCGAAGTGTCAAGAGATCCCAGTGGTTCATGAGATCGCCGGCGGCCTTTTTCAAGGCCGCGACTTGCGCGGCATAGGTCACCTCCGCTTTCAGCCCCGACCTCCGAGCAGTGATGCTTTGGCTTTCACCAGGGCCCGCCTTCGCCCCGGGCCCCGCGAAATCCGAGGCGGACCTCAGGCAACCGAGCCTCAGCTGCGCAAGACAAGGGGAAAGGGGAGGACACAGGAAAAGGACGAGATTCACGTTTGCAGGGCCAGGGAACGTGTCTTGCAGGCTGTCTGGGTTCACCGGCGCGCCCTCCGAGCCCTTCTCTTGCACGCAGGGCTTCTTGGCTTCAGGTGCCGCCACATTGGCAGCAGGCCGCTTGGCAGCGGGTGCCATGGCGCGTGGAAGCTGCCGTACAAGTCTGCTTGTGTTGAGCGTCTAGCTGTGGGCTGGAAAAGACACATGCACGAAAGCTCTCACATCGTCGCCTTCTAAATGGCCTGACCCCTGCTGCCAATGCACATCTCGGGCCGCCAGCTTCTGTCCACATGCGGCGGTCGGCAGGGTCCTCAAGAAGCATCGCCTCGTAACTCTGTGGGCTTTCTTTTGCGGTGAAAGTGAGCACAACGAGTGTCCGCCTTACACGTGTTCCCCGTCTGTGCTACTGGGGGGGCACCAGGCTGACTGGAGGCAGCGCAGCGCTAAGCTGCGCTATGGCTTTGTGTTCCACGCGTTCCCTTCGAATTCAAGGGCCACGCCCATGCATTGTATAGCGCACTGCAGTGACTGGGTCTCGTGAGAGATGACACAGAAAGATGTATGCGGTGCACAGTCAAAGCCCCGAGTAGGTGCTCCACTTGCCACAGGGGGACAGCCTCCGCCAAACGGCAAAGGCAGTCGCTGGCGGCAAGCACCGCGGAGCGGCCCTTGCCTTTGAGCGAACGTTCGAAGGCAGGCACGGCTCTGAACGGCAAGTCTCAGTGTGCTTGCCACTTGCGACGGCCTTTGCAGTTCCACACCACACTGCACGGACGCACCCAAGTTGCAATCTTGGGCGGTATTCCAAGTTCGATGTCCGCAAATGCAAGCGAAGTGGTAATGGGAATGTACCCATTTCTCCAGTCAAGGTGGAGAGAAAACGTCGCTTGTGGGGCTGGCGCCGGCACGCGAGAGGAGTAAAAATGTCGGGAGAGGCTTCACTCTTCGAGCCTGGATGTAGCTTCGTCACTCGTCACCATGATTTGGCAGGAACTCGGATACTTGAATCTTGGCCTTCTGTCCGGCGAAGCACCTGCAAAAGACTTCCAACTTGCAACCATCAAAGTCTGCTCAGAGTCTGGTTCATAGCATTTGCTGGGCAGTCATTGTTCTTTTCCTTGGTGTCCTCCTCACCATCGCTGCTTCGTCCTGAGTCCTGCGAGTCATTGGAAAATGTGATTGTGCATTTGTGCTCCAGGCTCGCGCTACAAAGCGAAATTCCAAGCCTCCGTCTCTGCTCCCGGAACTGCAAATATCTCGCTCTCCATACCGAGCAGTTTCAGATCACGTTCCTCGATTTCATCGGGTGAGCCTGCAACGCAGACTCGCCAACAGACTCGTCCATGCTCTTTCATGAGCTGGAAAACATTTGCAAACCAGTTCTAAACGACAGCAACTCAATGACTCAATGACGAAGCTCAGTGGTGCGCCTCCAAGGCACTTTTTCAGGAAAACCTTCATCCGAGGAGTCATCCTCTTCGAAGGACGTCCTTGGAAGAGGATGACTCCTCGGATGTAGCCGACGTAGTGGCCATGCTGCGCCAGCGCGGCACAAAGCGGCAGGGATCTTGAGCCGTGCTGACACGGTTCCGGATTTTCAAGAGGTCTCAAGCATTGACCCGGATAGAATGAGCTTCCGAAATCTACATGGTGAAACCAAGTGGCCTACATGGTGAAGAGGAGACAAAAGAAAAGCACAATGTCATTGTTCTTCTCCTTGGTGTCCTCTTCACCATCGCTACATGGTGAAGAGGAGACAAAGGAAAAGCACAATGTCATTGTTCTTCTCCTTGGTGTCCTCTTCACCATCGCTACTTCGTCCTGAGTCCTGCGAGACAATGGAAAGGGGCGTTTGATGCCTTTTGCTCCTTTCTTGCTCCTGCTTCCGTTTGCACCTGTCCACTTCCTGCGCTGCAGGGCTTCGTCCTCTTCCACCTTGCAGCGCCCGCCGCGTTGATGGAACATGTGCTGCGATAAGGCCCTTCTCGGTGTCACCTGGGCTCACCCATCCAGTTGCAGATCTACTGTGGCGGCAGTTGTGCCCTCTACCCTGACGAGTGCCCTATCATCCTGAATAGTAGTAGGGGCTAGGGAGCTGATTCCCTCTTGTGCTGACTGGTGTTTGCAATTCTAGTGTCTTCCTGGCAGATGCTTACCATGTGCAAGTCCTCTCTAGACTCTAGACCCTTCTTATGTGAGTCCACCCCGAACCGGCCAGAACACCCAAGTCCAGGAGCGCAGTGCACTAAACTCTCAAACCCTAAAGGAATTGAGACCAGAAGGTCGGCTTGAAGCCTTTACAGTAGGCGTTACTTGGGCCGCGGGCCTCAGGCAAAAGGAGCTTGGGGCTCGGTGCTGTTTGGGCTCGGGCTTCGTTCAGATTTGGGACGTATTCTGCGGCTTGAGCATCCTGCTGACAGCAAGAGGACATGGGCATGGAGCTCTGAGCTGGCACTGCTCTGAAGATGAGGAGGAGGCTGTAACCAAAAGCTACAACCCTTCAGATCAAGACTGAAGCAATGCGCTTGCAGGTTTCTTTGGTCTGCAGGCGCGGCTTAAGCGTCGCCTGCCCAGTCTTGCCTGAGGCCGCGGAGCAGGCGCCCCAAACGGGCAGCAAATCTCAGCTCGTATGGGCGGCACTCTTCATACGACCAGCTCCGACACTCGGTCGAATCGCAACCTCGAGTTTATCAGAGAGGCTGCCGTGCACTAGCCGAAGGTACTTTTGAGCATTGCGCTGCTCGAATGCAACACTCCAAGCAAGCGTAAAACCGGTACTTCAAAGGCCCCGGCAGGAGAGTCTCGTGCGCTTCGATGCCGACACTACCCACGGTCGGGAAGCGCTCGAATGTGTCCAGCAAGTGCTTCTGTGCCCAGAGGTCTCGCACGCTGGCCGTAGAGCCCTCGGGCCATCCCAGCGCGGATAACTCCTTTGCTGATTCAGGTGATGTCTGGGGCCTATAGTGCTAATACATAACTCGTAGTAACTATTATACCTGCCAGTGCATTGCCTCGGCCGGAACTTATGTGAGTTGGTGAAACTCGCTCGGTAACCTCAGAAGCGAAGCCGAGCCGCCACACTGGCAAAGACTTTGGCATCGGACGGATTGTACAAAGCGACGGCCATGGATCCATCGCCCATTAGCCTGCTGTAAAGCATCCAAGTACTGAAGTCTTTCACAAGCCGACCTGGGGCGGTATCAGCCTGGTTCACTGAAAGGACCTCCTTGTTCAGAAGGAGCTCCTTCTGCAAGGGTGTAATGGAGGGCCTGCAGCTGCCGGATGTGAAGTTCCCTAAGATCTGATCCGTCTTCGAGCAGTTCAGGAGAGGAGTCGTGACGATCAGCGGTGAGGCCAGGATGGCCCACATGGAGACCTCGGTTCGGTACTCGACTTTCGTCATATTCCCGGTCTTCCCGTTGGCATGGGCGGCCTGCCGGTAGTTGCCGGTCTCCAGCATGTCCATGTCATTCCAGGCAAAGGGGCGGCCGGAGTATTCTTCAGGGATCTTCGTCCTCTCTTCGATGACCTTCTTTGTGTCCGACCAGAGAGGGACGTGATCGCCTGTGGCCCTCCAGGACTGGGCGACGTCAGGGCCCCAGGTCCACGGCTTCTCCTTCCCCCACTCGCACATGTTGAAGTGGATCGGCCGGCCTGTGGCATTCAAAGCTTTCGAGAAGGCCGTGTAGGTCGGCTCAGGCTCCATTCCCTCCGTGAAGCACCAGTCCATCTTCACCACATCCACGCCCCATTCTGCAAACACCGCTGCATCCTCCGCGAAATGTCCCTTGGAGCCAGGTCGCCGATCGACGCAAGTGTAGGTCCCGGCGCAGGTGTAAAGTCCAAATGTGAGGCCCTTGGAGTGCGCGTAGTCTACGATCGGCTTCATGCCGTTCGGAAAGTGCTGCCTGTCCGCTTGCAAGAAGCCCGAGGCATTTCGCTCGTGGTCCGCCCAGCAGTCGTCCAAATGAAAATGGCGATAGCCGGCATCATAAAGGCCAACCTCAGGGCTTGGGAAAGCGGTCTTCGCCCTTGTCTGTCCTAGTGACTACTTAAAGGATCATGGGACTTAGTAAGTAGGGATATAACTAAGGTAACTATACTTATAACCCAAATTAGGGGACTAATAACCTTACTTACTAAGCCCCATGATCCTCCAAATAGTGCCTTATCGCAACTACCCCCTTGATGCCTCATGGAAGGCGTCGACAGAAAGCTTCACGCTCGCTTCGTCACAGAAGTCGAACTCTGGCGCCTGCGCTTCTGGGCCCGGCCACTGGCGGCCGAGACCTACCCAACTGGACCAGCCCAGAGGCGGCAACCGGGAGTGGGGAGCGCCATTGTCGTAGCCACGGCTGAGCCAGCCTTGCAAGCCCAAGGAAGCCAAGAAGAGCCAGGACATGAATTAAGAGCTGTTCCCAGGCCGTCTTGCCCACCTTCTCTTCAAAGGGGCTGCGGCGAACACGACGCTTCCAAAGAGACCGCTGGTGCAACACTCAGAACTCAACAATGCAGCAAAGCGACAGCCTTCTGCTTCCTGAACTTCTGGAAGGCTTTGGCCCCCCCCGAGCCGCTGTGTTTCAACCGCGTCCAGGATTCCTTCCGGATGCATCTTTGGTTCCAAGCCTAGCCCGAAACCTTCACCAAGGAAGTGCATGGTAGTAGGGCAAATTGCAGAAACACCTTTGGCTCAGCTCAAGCTTGCAGGAGCCCTTTCCGTGTCTCACATCTACTTCTACTGGTGAAACCCCTAACATCGGAGCTGCTCAGGATCGTCTTTGACCCGGCCGAGAGATGCCTAGTGGAACAAGGCAAGCATCAGGAACAAACTAAACGCACAAACATGACCTTACACGTCTACGGGATCATGGGTCCTACATCTTACCGAAGGATGCTACTCTGGCCCAGAGTGGCTGTAGTTCTTGACGTTAGCCATGCCGCTGTAAAGCAAACGAAGCATCCACATGCGTCCGGACCCCTAAAATTTAGGCCCTAGGCTTGAGCCTGTATCATGCAGACGAAGTTTGCAGCGCCATGGCCACCTCCACAAGGCTGTTCGCCACCTGCAGTATCGCCGACTTGACTGATACTTTGCTAAAGACATGGCCGCACAAGCCAGGGCTCAAGAATGCTCTGGCCTCTTCGGGGGAAGGTGGTGGGCCGTCACCCCACGCATGATGCAAATCCACTTCTGCAAGTTCAGGAAGCTTCAGGGCCTTTCACGTGCACGGTGGCAGGCTACACATGACTACACAAAGCAAGAAGGAGCACCTGCCTTTGCAAGCAGCTTCATGGGAATAGGCGAATCCTCCAGCTAAGACTACCAGCATCAAGTGCTTGGGCAGCCACCGGCAAGAGTCCTTCAAGTCGAGATCGATGTCGCTGCTGCGACTCACGATGGCGGGCCTCGGTGTCGAAGGTGCTGGGAGCTGCACCGCTTACACAACCAGGTCCCGGACAGAAGTAAGCGGAGCAATTCCAGCCGAACGGTCAACTCGCTGATCTTCGGCGCCTGAGGAAAAAAAGCTCACCGAAGTCTTCGCATCCGGGTCACAAGACGAACTCAGATCTCAGGTCTGGACTTCTGGCAGAAGCAATGACTTGACGGTTGGTTCCGGACGGAGTTCGGACATGCGCATCCCCAGCTCTTTCACGGCTTCGTGCTCATACTCCATGTCGCCAAAGTTGATGATGTTGCGACGAGAGTGCCCTTCACGCCCACTGAAGAAATCAAGGAATTCTTGCTTCATCGCATGGAACTTTGCTGCCGACATCTCCACGAACTTGAAGCGTTGGGTATCCTCTTCGTCCCAGTAGGCATCGAGGTGCTTCGCAGGGATCACACTGTCATCCTGGTGCCTTACCTTCTTGCGCAAGCGCAGGGCTCTCAGAACTTCCTTGGCATACAAAACCGTAGGTCCCCCTGGGCTGGCAAAGAGAGAGACAAGCTCCGGTGCAAATCGTCTCAGGCAATTCTCAACCCAACGGCTTTGTGCGTTGGTGACGATGACGCAGGACCCGGAGTATTCCATGCAAGCTTTCAGGAATCGCTGCAATGACTCGCCCCAGGCGTGCAGCAGCTGCTCTTGCTTTTTCGTAAGACGCTCGGAGTCCCATTGGTGTGGCAACCCCCATCGGTCAAAAATCTCGGTGGACGGAAACAGAGTGTCATCCCAATCGAGATATATGAGTGTTGAGGATGTGTCCAGCACAGGTGATGCATGCCCAGCACAGCTTGCCGAACTTGAGCTGTAGGAGCTCCACTGAACGCTCCCTGCAGCTGTGGTGTCCAAGCTCGCACCCCTGGATTGCAGGTTGAACGCCTTCGAGGGACAAGCCGGACGGCGCGACACGCTGGAAGATGCCATTGTCTAAGCAATGCGGAGCACTCAATTAGGCCCTGCGTAGGATGCTACATCGTACTGACTGGCTCAGACTGGTTGCTGGAACTGACTGAAAAACTTGCGAAATCTTGCGAAAAGCTTCCAACCACATCACAGCAATCACGCGCACTCCTTATCTACAAGCCTACAAGCCGCTACAAGCCCGTCGGCTGCTGCATCGGTGACTCCAGGCATGCATTTAGGCATGTGTTGTCAAAGTGCACTACGAAGATTTCGAAAGCTCCGACACGAGAGCCAACTGTCCTCATGCAGTCACCACAGGCTGTGGCTGGACAGAACCATCTTTCTGAGCCAGCCCACCGCCTTCTCAAAGTCGCCATGGTCATGGGCATGGCGAGCGAGGACTCACAAAGGGCAGGTGTGCGGGGCATAGACAGTCACAACGATTTAGTTGAACTGTTCGCTGATGTTTGCTTGGAACATGTACGTACTGGTAGCAATGACGAGTCTCTGCCCCGGTTTGGTATGCTTTCCTGATGTATGTAGTGGTGTCACAGTGTCTTTACTGTAGTTGCTGCGCACGTCCTACTCTCTCAAATCCGGCACTCAGCAGGCATAGCCGTGAAAATGGCGCACGGATTCAGGTCACTCGGAAAATGCCGACCGGCACAAACAATGTCTGGGCTTTCATCGACTGTGCAGAAAGAACGAATGCCTTGCAAGTCTGTAAACACTGCGCTGACATCCTGCGTTCTCTCATACTCCAGCAACACACCGTACTGCTGCAGGAGGTTACCAATCTCATCGTCCTGCTCCTGTCAGTCGCGAGGATATCTCAGACTCTCACTTCACCTGACACGTATGTCTCATCCCTGGGTGCACATGTTCGCATCCTCCTCTTGCACAGGGATCGGATCATCTTCTTTTTTCTCAGCCGGGGAACTTTCCTGTCAGAGTGAAGCTATAAGCAAACTCAGTACGTGCCGAACATCGGCCTGCTTTGTCGAGTGCTCCTTCAACCATAGGTTGAAGCGCTTGAGCCTGCTGATACGGATCTGGCAGCACACCGCAAATCTGCTGTACCGGGTCTCCGGCTGATCCATATGCTCAGTGCAGCAGCATGTCTCCGACTCTTAAAACCAGAAAGCATGGGTTGACTTGTTTCATGGGCTTGCATTCCAGGGTTTGGGTCAATTACAACTATGTCGAAACCCTAAACTTAAACAGACATCGCATAAGGGATTTTAGGAATCAGGGTTTGGGGATGTCCAACCATGTCGGTGCTAATCACTGTCTTCGCGTGTCAGGGCTGCAGCGAGCGAGTGATGCCACGTGCATGAGTCGAGACGGACGAGGGCGGACAAAGCTGAGCATGTTTTGCTTGAAGCCCTCACGTCTGCAGATGAGGCCGACGAATTCCAAGAGCACCTCTGAAACTGTAAGTCTCGACGTAGAGGACTCCAGATACTGAGATCATGTCTCGCTGGCGAGATGCTGAAGCATCATGCACAGCATCTGCACAGGTGTATGCAATGCTGCCGACACAATTGGCAATTTTGCACGGGCTGCTTCTTGCAGCAGTGGTACGTGCACATCAACTCGTCTCAACTCCACATGTGCTACAAACGGCGAATTTGATTGCGCGCATTCTTCTGGCGCTCCATCAAGCGAAATGAGCTGTCAGAAAATGCAAGTGCCCCCATCATGCTGACAAAGCGGAGTCACTTCCCGTCGTGACTCAGGACAGACTGCAGCTGCCCTCCCTGCAGCTCGTGGCCCCGGGTCACTTCTTCGCGGCACCTGCCCCGGCAACAGCCTCGTCAAAATCAAGAAAGACAGCTTCCACGGCTTTGTGGCACTTAGATCCGCCCCGTCTGCAGCTCCAGGCTCCCAACGAGCTTGAATGCACTGGTCAGCCGCGCAGCAGCCTGCGGCGATGGCGACGCTCACGGATCTTACCACGCTCTCTACCCGCTCTGGCCTTGGGGAGCCGGCGCTCCTGAGTGCTGTCTGCGGGGCCTGAGACAAAGCTCCCCGGTGAAAGCGCGGCTTCTCTCAAGGGCACAAGGGCACAGCCGCCTATGCGGCTTTTCTGACATGCGCCCTCAGCCAGAACTTGCCGTGCCGCCTTTCAGCATTTTTTCACCTCCGGAGGGCATCTCCCCTGTACAGTGTGGGATCAGAGGGCCAGGATGGCTCAAGTGAAGATGTGGATCACGTGCTGAGCTTCCTCTGCCGGGACGGTCAAAGGCTGTGTGCACGACACACGACACGGTGGTGCAGGGCACCATGCACAAAACTGTCGTGACATGCTTTGGGTTCCGCTGGTTTCCCTACGTAATGCAAGAGCACTCAAGCACCTGTTTGATCTGGTTTGTGGAGCAAAGCTTTTCCTCGCACTTGTGCCTTCCGATGCATGAAAACCGCTGAGTCTGAGGGTGGTGCAGCCTACAGGCAAAGATGGAGCTAAATGGACTTCCTCATGCAGTGAAGAAGAAGTTAGGAAGATAATTGTATGGCAGACCTTGTGAATCCCCCATGAACTTGCAATGCGACACCTGGACACTAAGTCTAAGTCAAACTAAGGCTCTGCTCGACAAACTGGGCAAGTTCCTCTGTCATCAGGACAAAGCTCCTTCGCGCACGGGCCGCAAACACAGCCTCAGTTTGCAAGCAGCCTTGTCGCTACTGCAACTTCATGTGCTATCTGAACACCACAGCTCTCGAACGTGCTCGATGCAAGACTGCAAGACTCTGTACCAAACACGGAGCCTTGCAGAGCTAGCAGACATCCAACTGCTGGCAATGGCACGGTGACCGCAGGGGACGAAAGCGTGGGTTTTCCTTGGCAGTTGTGCTGGAGGCTGGATGGCAAGGGGCACCAAGATCGAGAAATGGAAGAGAATGCATTGCCGAGTTACGGCGAGGCCAGGCAAACCACGCACATCAAATCCTCGTCCTCTTCAGGCCCGGGACTCTTCCTGTGTACATCCTGAGTCTCGTTGGGTCAGCTCTGCAAGAGATCCCGAAGCGTCTGAGCTGAGTCCGAGGGTCTGCCGTGGTTCGCACAGCGCAGGCTCTCCCACGCTCTGTCAGGATCCGGCTGGCCGGCCTGGTAACTGAGAGCTGCAGCACACAAAAGCGGCTTAAGAGACGAAACGAGAAGCTTAGAACACGGCAGCGGCCCCGGAATCGGTCGGCCAGAGGGCCCCGCGGAGGGCCCAAGTGGAGTCGGGGCAGGGGGGAGGCACGTTTCTCTAGGGATGGGGGGCTCTGAACCCACGTGCCTGACGTAGCCCCCGTGGCTCGAGGCGTTCTGGGCAGGGAGGAAGGCAGGAGTCTGCCGTGGCTCGGGCTCGGCTTGGCCCATGCCCGGTCCGCTTCTAAAAGAAGGCGCCGCCCGCTCTGCATTTGCAAACGCAAGAGCAGGATCAACAGTTATTGAAACTTGCCCAGAGCAGCCGGCGCCGTTGTAAGCGGCCACGACAAAAAGGTGCCTTCCACTGTCCAGATGGCCCACCTGTGCTTTCTGAGGCAGAGTGCCTGAAGCCCCAACGTCTCGCGCCAAGCGGTGTTTGCTGCCAGAGTCGAGGTTCACCACCTCGATGTAGTAGCCGTCCACTGGACCCCCGAGCTGCGAAACTTTCGAAGATCTCTGACCGTCGTCAGGGAAAGTCTGCGCCTCCGGGGGTTTCACCTCCAACTCCAACACCCCCGCTTTAGGCACCACCCGCAGGCTCCCGGGAGTGTCCGGGCGCCTCAACCCCAACAGACTCCGCAGCGGTGCCGGAGCCGCAGCGCTGTGGCCCAAGAGCCGCCTCAAAGAAGGCGAAAGGCCGCAGAAAACACGGGGAGAGAGTTCCCCAACCACCTGACTCTGGAGAGAGTCCCCCCTGGAAAAAAGCCGCCTAGCTGCCTGCCAAATGCGGGCTCAACACTCTAAAGCCACAACTCCAAACTCTCAATCCGAAACCTTCCAAACACGCACAACATGTATAGCAGACTTCTGGGGTCTGACACAAGATCGGAAAGAGCGGGTTCGGTCAACTCTGAATCCTGAACGATAAACCCGACGAGGCGCTGCAGATATCTGCTCAGTTCATGCTCCCTCTGCTCACAGAACTCCACCGAAAGCGACTGTGTAAAGGCCGGAAGCCAAGATCTCTCAGGACCAGGAGGCAGGTCTCTAGCATCCACAAGAGAGCACAGCTCCTGTCAGGATCGCAACCCAGGCACAGCACCAGAGACACACACACAGATAAGCTGACAGACTAACAAAGAGATGTATATCAAAATTGTGTCAGGGACGCACCGGCAACCAGACTGCAACACTGGAAGACGGTGCTAGGTAACCCACGAACACCTTACAAGCCGCAGTAGGACAAACGCTACAAGCCCTGAAAAAACTAGCCTCCTCCGGACAATTTCAACTGATTTAAGTTTTTCCGTCATCGGCACATCATCATGACCGCGTCATCAACCACACGAGTACAATCATGACAGCCCATCTTCTGTGTCTATTCATCACACCAACACTGGGTTGATTTGATTGATGTTTCGTCTACACTGTCCTCACCGATACTCAAATCAGCATCCTAGTCACCTTGTGCCGATTTCCTAGTTGTTGCTGGGCCTCTAGTGTTCACGCACGTATGTCTCGGTGTATGGGTAGGTTAGTATTGTTTGTTGCTCCTGGAGCTTAAGGCCTGCTAAGCTTCATGCCAAACCGATGCTACCTGCAACACCGAAAGCATACGTAGCACAAGACCCACAAACGCCTGACAATTCCTAACACACAGATTTCCTGATTCGAAAGCCTCATGCGCATGATGGAAGTCGGAAAATCGCCGCCAGGTCGTCCAAGAAACTCCACTGCAATGTGCCACTTTCAGGCAATACTCCACGTGCCCTCCTCGGAGGTTGCCAACCACAAGGACTCCACAAATCGGAAACGGGTGGCCATGATCTTTGAGGCCAAGGGGCCTACATCCTCGTACTCGGTGATTGCTGCCTTGCAAAACTGTGCACAAGACAACGGGAAGACGTGCATCACTCCGAAATACTCCGAACTCAGCCCAAGCCACGGTGAATCTTCTCTGGGGCGCAGAATCTGCATCCATAGCACGATCATCCTTCACTGGGCCAAGTTGTGCACCGTGTCGCATTGTGGCTATGTCGGCTTCAGAAGGCTCCATATTGCTCGATGGATGCTTTGGGAAGCTGTTGGGTGTTGTTCTGGGATGGGTTGCTTCAGTGCGGTGGCAGCAAATTTGAGCCAAGCTATACGAAAACAAGCAGATGCACCTTCAATATTATGCAGCCGTCATCTGCACTCACGCACTTTCAGACTCATCTTGGCGCAGGACGTGCGCCGTCGTTCTGTCCATAGAACCTTGCAACATCCACTTTCAACTCGCAACCGCCGTGAGGACATGTAACGAATAAAGCGCTTTTCATCATTTACATCTTAGCTACACCGTTGAAACCAGATTGGTCCTACAAGCGCCCCAAGGATTGGACGACAAACCTCTGAGACTTCCTGAAGCTGTTCCGACACATTGCTGACCTAAGGATACCTAAGGTACCAACCAAGTAAGCTGCGACAGTATGGGAAAACGGGGATCTCAGAAACCGCTTCTCAAAGGTCGAGATTGCCCCGCCCCCCAGGGTTTTGAAAGTACTGGGCGCTTGCTGCATTGCCAGCCTTTCCCACCCAGAGTATTAGATGTGTGCTTTCGCTTTCGCAGATATGTCTGTTGCCGACAGTATTGCCCGAGGACACATCACTGTGACACGTGTGAACCTTCCGCTTGGAAGCAACAGACACGGAAGATATCAGATACCCGTTCGAGGAATCCCGAACGGCGCCCAACAAAAGCAAAGAACCCACACAAGTACACAAACCTGCGACAGAGAACAGCAGAGCACCACTTTGACTAAGCGCGGCGCTTAAGCAGCTCGGATGCAGCATCATCCGGAGCCAGACCCGTCGTCTTCAACTTACCATCACTGTCTTTGCCCTCCTCCAGGTTTCAAGATATTTCGAGACACTCAAATTTGCAAAACTCGTCGCAACAACGATTCCCATCCTCCGCATCGAGCAGAGGGATTGCGGCAGGGTTTGATTTCAGAGAGCCTGGAGAGTCCTGGCGTGGTAAGCATGCCGGAGCCCCCCGGCACTGACGAGAACAAATCTCCTCCAGCTCGAGTTTCGCCGCCACTCCACGGAAGCCGGATATGCCAGCAGAGTCGCACAGAGATGAATCACGCCGGCCTGCTGGGACTCAGCTAGCCGGCAGCAGGAACACGAACCCGGTCGTGGGCAGGCACCGCGGCAGAGTACCATGCCCTCCGCGATTGATTTGACCTCAGTATATGACACGGCTTGATCACGTGGGGCACCCATCCGTATCTTTCTGACATGATGTGGGGCCGGCTACGCCTATGACACACCGCAATCACTCAACTACGATCCGAGTTAAACACGACCCTGCATGCAGTACCGACTCTAAGCGACAGATCGTCGTCACCGATCAACACCTCGGGCCCTAAGCCGCCTACCAATCTGTCCAGGGTTTACGAAGCTTACAGAACGCTGAGCATGATTCTTGCATCCGAAGCACCATGTCAGGCAAAGTGCGCTGAAACTTCTCTTGCATCTGACCCAACACCTTCAAAACAGCGCGAACCTTCTCTCCGGTGCAGAGGCTGCGTGGACGGCGAACACTTCGACTTGCAACCAGCCTCTGCTCTGGCTTCTGCATCTGCTGCTCGAGCCTCCTTGTGTGCCACTTCCAGCTGTAGCTCCTGCTTGGACTCCCCTAAACCCGGTAGTGTAGACGTCGCAGCTCGAAAGGATCTCGCGTGCGAGCCTCGACTCGCGAAGCACGCTGCCGGAGTTCCTCGCCCGAGACCCAGCCCAGCTACTGGAAAAGGTATGGGAAAACACTGGGACGTCCGTCCTCCGCCTGTCCCTCAGCAAATGCTGCCCTTCTGATGGCCTCAGCTTGGCAGCACAGCAGTAAAACCAAGGCTCGGCCCGGCGGAGCCTCCTCTGCTCTCCTCTGCTCGAGAACGGCCTTCTGTTCCATGTCTCCCGCCTGCCGGGGGATTTTTTGTTGTTCGATTCCGAAGCCTCGGCAACATGGGACCCTCGAGCCGACTCGGGCCCTCGGGACACTCTGCACTGCAACCAGGGCTGCTCCGTCTGAAGTCTTTCCCCTTGAGTTCGGTTGGGTGAGTGCCTTCTGCATTGCCAGTTCCAGCTGCGCCTGACGATGGCGGTCACTTCTCACGCTACAGAACACCCTCAAAGCACAGCCGAGAGACCTTCAAATCTCAAACTTGGATCGCGGGCCTCCTTTCGGACCAATGCTTCACGCAGACGCACCTGCAAAGCAAAACGTGTCAACACTGAGAGACGGCAGAAATCGCTCGGATTCCCAGCCTCGACGTCGGCAGCTCGCTTATGTGTATCGGATCGCGCCTGTCATTTGGTGAGCATTCAGTGATGACTCATGACTCGATCGCTGGTCCCTTGCCTTTTCCAAGATTTCTTCCAGCTTGCCCTTGGGGTTTGTTGCAGGCCTGCCAGCTGGCGGCAAAGAAGAGCGGCCCCTGAGCCAAAGCTCCTGGCAGCGCGTCCTCGCGGTAGCCTTTGGAGCAGCTTTCGACTTTGGAGCGGACTTGGCCGGCCCCGGCTTGCCTCCTGGCGTCCAAGATTCGTTGAAGACTAAACAAAACACATCAAGACTGCAGCACTGCACACATTTCCCTTCCCCTTCGCCCACCAGGCCTTTCGATTCGAGCTTTGAGCGTTGTGGCGCAGGGCTGGGCTGACGCCGAGATGGCTCCTGCGATTTTGACCTCTTCGGCGGCTCTTGCGACTTCGACCTTTTCGGCGGTTTTGCCGGCTCCACTGACTTCGACCTCTTCGGCGCCATCTTCCAAACGGCCTCCAGAGGCACTCAACTCACATCTGAGCCAAACGACGCCAAGACAGAAGAAATCAACCCTAAACCCTAAACCCTAAACCCTAAAAACCCTAAACCCTAAGCCCTAAACCCTAAATAGACCCTAAACCCTAATCCCTCAGCCGCCTTGCCTGGCTCCGGGCTTGCAAGGCCGCAGAAGCGAAATGTCCCCGAGCGGAGAGTCGGGCCGAACGCTGCGACAACCCGGCAGAAAAGGGTTTAGGGTTTAGGGTTTAGGGTTTAGGGTACTAAACATATTATAAACATATTTTAAAATTATAGGGGAAAAAAAGTTTTTCCCCCTATAATATGTTTAGTGCCACGGTCCAAGACCTATTGACCTATTGAAGGGCTGCTGCTGTCGTAAGGTAGGTTTGTGCGCCTTTTGTGCAGCCTGAAGGGCTGTCGGTGAATCGGTGAGCACCACCGTTCTACAACTGGCAAGTCCTCACAGGGCTACCAGTGAAAACTGTACCGAAGCAGGAAGACATGCGCGAGCTCTTCCAACCAAGCCACCACCACATGCTGCCTACAGCCGGTATGGGCCAGTGAAGCTTGCGGTGTGTCTGCTGATCTTCCTGTTTCCTCACTGTGGGGCGGATCAGGATCTCTGCGCTCTGACAAGGCCAGCTGCACTCTTTGCTCAGCTTGTGCCAGGCAAGCCGGGGGAGTCCCCAGCAGCATCGTCCTTCTGCGGATCAGCTGCCACAGGCCAGTGTTCATAGTGCGAGTGGGGAGGCTCAACATATCGAGACTGCGGACTGTACCATGCTGAGGATACCCGTGCTAGATTGCTGCACAACGACAAGTTTGGAAGGTTACACGTACCAGACTGGTCGGTCCTGCGAATCTGACAGATCTTCGATACGGTGGTAATTCTGCAGCTCGGTTGAAATCTCGGCCACAGTGGAGCGGGGCAGCTTGGCAAAGGCAGCAGGTGAGGATGCAGTTACCGAAGTAGCCGGGGAGGGGACCAAATACTTGCTGTCAAAAATTTGTTGGCGCACCTGACGAGAGGCCGAGAGCAAGTCGTGCTGCGACGCCGAGACACCGGGGCCTCTCCGAGCCAGAGTCTCATCCGAGGAAGCGCTGAAAGCCTGCCGGACAGTTTGCGATTCCCAAGCAGCCGTGGTTGTAGCATCTTACACAGATTCAGGCGCACGTTATCCGCAGGGTCAGGGCGATGTGGTAGCAGTACATGAGAAGCGCAGCTTTCAAGTACTCCTCAGCTCTCAAGGCTGTCGACAGGCCTCACAGTGCTCACACTTAGCTCTCAGTGATGGACATGACCGGGCTCCATGAACTGCAGCATGGTGAGCACCGCCTCTAAGGAAGGCGTTCAAGGCTAAACTCGGCTAAACCTTTCCTTTCATGACTTTGCTCTCCACTGCAGTGACGGACCGTGCGGGGGAGCACCAGATGAAACACCACAGCCTGAATCAGAGAGGAGCTGAGGCTAAACACCTCAATGCAGTGAGTTCCAGTTGCACCAACCAGTTCTTCTGAGTCAACATGCACCAGACCAAAAAGATCTAGATCTCACGATCATGCTAGCATCGTGCTCTCAGCGCTCGTACCTCCAGCATGGGGAACACCAACATCCTTCAAAACAATGCGTGTGCCTTGATATATACTAAGATTTCCAGAACCACACTACTTCGGAAGCACGGCGGTCCGCCAAAGACGCCAGTGGGCCCGCAAGTTGAAGAAGAGGTGCGTCAGAGAGCCTGATGCTTTGATGCCAACCCGAAGCCCAACTCCCCGAGTCGCAAGAGGAAGCCTTGAGCCTCCTCCCACACAGCCTCGATCCTCAGCCATGCTCCGAGTGTGGGAGTGTGCGAGGAGCACCGGAGCAGAGAAAAGGGAAGAGAGAGCCCGGCTCCCGATGCAGATTGTGCAGTATCACGTCGCTTTGTACCAGGCGCCAGATCACCTCCCAGCAAAATGCGACCAGACCAGGCACAACCGTGGCAGGGAGGGGTGCCTTGGTCAAGACCAGACCCAGGCTCCAGCAGTCCGTGAGCAGGAAGATGATGGGAACCTCCCGTGTGGTTCGAAGACTCGGCTTTCGGAGGGGCTCCCACCCTGCAAGCAGCTCTAACTCTTTTCCTTCCTTCGCTCTGGAGCACCCTCCCTGGACCAAGTGGGCGGGGCCGCGGGGGTGAGGCACCGGGGCGCTGTGATCTGCGAGCTGTGGCCGCTGTGAGACGCTGCGAGACTCTGTGCAGCACCTTCGCTCTTCCTTGACGGGGCCGAATCTTCATCGTCAGTGCGCCATCAGATGCCTTGACGGGCTGATATACGACCGACAGATACTGAGCAGAACGTGGAATTGTAAGGTGCTAATGTCGTCGAACGGATAGTGCCGATGTTTTCGGAAAGCCAAGTTACCATTGCAAAAGGGGCAGGAGCAGTTGCCGCTGCTGTCATGCTGCGGTCCAATGAAGCAGCAGCATCCAAGAAGCAGGAGAAACCTCAGCTCCATGACACACTGCACACTGCAGCTTTCCCCATAACCAGCGGAACTCCCGACCTGATTAGAACACCTTCAAGGACGCTGTGCCGAGAATTTGAAGGAGGAAGACAGTCTGCTGTTTGACGACAATGCAAGAAAGCCGCATGCAGGTATTTGGGGAGAAACAGAAGCCTGTACAGGAGCCTTTTTGGCCAGCTATGGTCCACTTGTGCTGCTGCGGAGCACACCACGTGCCACAGCTCTGAGCAACCCGTGCGCACGCTGCTGGCACGTCACCCAGACACTCGCACATCTCACTGCCGTCAGTGCCCTCCAGAACCACCAAGCCTGAGCCGAGAACCACACGCTTAGCAGCCCACACAAAAACCTCCGTCTGAAACGAGGCAAAACGATGACAGACGTCTCAGACAAGCACCATGGCGACACCAGCGAGGGTAGCCGCCAAGGACCTTCATCTTACACCAGCGTTTAGATGTCTGTAGGCCATTGTAGCATCCAGGTGAGCCGAAACTAAGCTGTCAACATGAAGAGGGTAGAACTGATTGCACAGCTCCCGCTCACAATCACGGCTGCCACTACCGAAAGAAGCCTGACCAGCAAATGCAGTGAGCACAGCCCAGGCACGTCCCCGGCTTCTCTGCTGGGGCCTGGCATCAGCCAGCTCTGGTGCCCAGCAGACGCCCCACAGGCTCAGCGGGCTCAGTCCTACCTCAAGCCATGGGTCACGACAGCTCGTCCGTGGTCCTGCTCGGCATTTCTAGCGAGCAGCCTCCCTCTTCGATGCCAGCAAGTCCCGTGCACCACAGTGCCCTCTGGCACATGTGCAAGCAGCCGGGCAGCTCGCCATGCTCCAGTCGACATGGGTGCACGACCAATCAGATCTGTATCCACTTCCGACAATCCACCCTAAACCCTACACCCTAAAGCCACTTCCTCTCCGTGATTGCCGTGGTACTGGTGTGACCAAAACCATGCTATACCGACTAGAGTGTAGGCTCATTGTGCTGCTGCCTGGCGAGTCAAACGTTTGAAGCCGAGTCATGGAGCGCGGCTTCTTGTTGAAATGCCAGGAAGTTTGCAACGAGACTTTACTTTGCAGGTGCCTGGAAAACCGATTGCACTTTCAGCGGCAGCATAAGCCTCACAGGTTGAAAGTTCCAACTATCGATATGTTCAAGGTGAGTCGCAACGGAAACAAAAAAACGCCTCAGCAGCAGTGTTCCCAAACCCAGCGGCAGCACGATGGTCCTGAGCAACACGTCAATATAGATGCAGTTTAAGCCTGTAGGCTCAAGCGCGCGAGCAACCGCCGAACATCTCACGGGCTCCGCAGCTGTTTTCTCCAAGCAATCATACTGCTGCATGGGTTAGCCTCAGGACGAAGGGCACCAGGAAACGATTCACGTAGATCTGCACAGAGCTCTCTCTATCGGGTTTAACATCTGAAAGGTCCAAGTCTCTCGGCCATCATCGCATCCAATGGCACTTCATGTGCAGCATAAGCTGGGTCACCAGGACACAGGTCCCGAATGACGTCCAAAGTCTGCACCACTGAACCTGCAAATCAGACTGTCAGCGCCACCGCTCAAGCTGGGACCTTGCCTCCCATCCTCTCAACACCGACATAAGCACCCACCTATGCCCACCTAAACACGCGAGCACGCACATACATATCTCATCTGCCTGTACCAGTAGTATTAGTAGCCATGCTTCATGGTGAGTCGAGCAGTCGCAGCCTCATTCTGTGCTTGTGCATGCACCTGGTCGGTAAGGTGCCTTGAGTTGAAGCTCTCAGTATTGCTTTGGGCTCTGCCGCTCTGTTTGGGGAGCAAGCATGTTCACGCCCGTCAAACTGTCCAATCTCGTGGATTGATCGCTCAATACTGACATGACACGACTTGCGCATGCAGTCTTCTTCATCCGTATGCTGCCAACTCCCCTACCAATCAATTGTGGCACTGCAGTTGCGATTTGTAGGACTGCAGGTCCAAGCCTGTGTGTATGCCTTACTCCCCACCCTGGCCTCCTCTCAGCAAACCTCGGATGACAAACGCACAACTCTCTCTCTTCCTCTCTCCCTCTCTCTCTCTCTCGCTCTTTCTGTGCTTCCGTCGTGCGGAGTGCAAGGACTGAGCTCGGAACTGTGCAAGCGCTCGCCAGTCTCGCGATTGAAGGGGTCTGGACGAAAACTCCGATGCCAGACGTGTGCCGACAGAGCCTCGGAAGATGCTAGATCGCCACTTTGCCGACAAAACGGTACCTCCTTGCCCCAAGCGGCTCGATTGAAGAGGTAGCAGTAGTAGGAGCCGCCGTAGTGGACCAGGTGGTCGAAGCGTGCCGTCGCTGTGGAGAGGCCCAGCCTCGGCAAAGAAAGCGCTCCTCAGTTGGCGCTCTTTGCCCGTTGCTGAGCTCTCGGCAGCTCGAGCAGCGATGCGTTGCAGGGCCCGTCCTGCAGCGATCCGAGAATCCACCCCCAGTGCCTGCACCCAGCTGCACAACGAGCAGACGAGTGGCCAGCCCCTGCTCGAAGCTCGCAAGCCTCGTAGATTGCAAGCCGTGCTCAAACAGACCCATCTCCGACGTTGCTTGTCCATGCTACTCCTCTTCCCTCCGAGGACTAATTAGGCCTTCCGTGCAGATGCGACTGTAGATCCGACGACGCGGACGGCTGGAAGGAGTAGAACGCTTGGTCCACCAGCGCCTCAGTTAAGCACGTGCCACCCGACAAAGCCGGACGCTCTTCAGAACTGGATTAAACCGAAGCCACGTAAACCAGCTGCTGAACCGCCTCGAAATGCCCGAAGGGCCGATAACGGTGCGCAGCTCGCAGGTTCTCTGGCAGCTTGGAGCCTTGCAAGGCGAGCCCTTCAGTGAGGTTTCTCGGGGTGCAGATGTCGTTCTTGCTTGTTCTCCCGGCCTGTGCTAGCATGCGAGGCATACAGGCTCAGGCAGTCTGGATCCAGCACGAAGTGCTCGAACAAGTGAGAGGGAAACTCCTGAGACAAAGAGGACAGAACGAGCTGAGGATGCTCCTAAGATCGGCAGATCTCGAAAATGATGGCCAAGTCGCAACAAAGTCAATCGTGCCGCGTGTTCCGGACAGGTGTTGGAAACGAGTCTCGGAGAGCAACGAGTGGACCGCATGCCCAATCTCGTGCATGAAAGTGATGGCAAAGCTCGTAGACAGGCTTTGCGAGCCAGGGGGCAGAGCATAAACCAGGCAAGTCTTCGGGACTTGAAGTTGTCCATCTGGCAATGCCTTTGACCCTTGCAGGGTGAATTGCGCAGATTGGACCTTCTTGCCGGCACGCGGGAAAGGGTCCAAGTACAGGATGCCAATGGTTCGCTCGTCTTCACGGAGCGCGAACTTCTGAACCGAGGGATGCCAGACTTCGCCGGGGTCGGGAGCCTCTTGGACGAAAGCTAGGCCCAGTAGCCGAGAGAGCACCAACTCCACACCCTTCATCAGGGAGCCGTAGCTCAGGTACTCTGAAAGCTCATCGGCCTCTCTGTGCCTCTGCTTGCACCTCCGCAAGAGAAACGGTATGTCCCAGGGCTCCAAGGAATCACCAAGGCCGATGCTTTGCTTCTCGTCCGCCAGGAGCTGTAGCTCTCTCAGGAAGCCGGGCCTCAAAGCGTCCCAGGCAGTTTCGAGGAACTCTTGAACCTTCTCTGGGCCCTCGAAAAGAGCTTCCCTTTGTGCATAATGGGCCCAAGTGTCGTAGCCGCGTATCTTCGCGAGCTGCTGTCGCACCGAGAGTAGCTGCAGCATCATCTCCTCTCCGGTGGTGTCCCGGCTCTGCTGCGCTTGGTGCATTCTTTGCCGTGTCTCGCCACACGGGACGGTTTTCAGTATCCTATCAGCAAGAAATGTATCACGGGGAATGTGGACCTCTTCGCCACCACCAGCATTCTGGCGCTTAAGTCGCCACTGATGCAAGTTTAGGCTGTCCAGCGCTGACACCGACAGCCATGCTCCCTCCGTCTCAGCAGACACCTGCTGACGCACCTGCTCCTGTCTATGAACTATGTCGAAAGACAGCTGCTGCTCCGCATCCAGCATTTGCATGCATGCTTGCTTCTCCGCTTCCGCGAGATGAATGCCTTCGTGCTCCATCGACACACGCATGTGACGCAACACGTTGCAAGCTTCCAGAGGCATGGTTTCAACGCCTTTGGAATTTTCGGAGTTTTTCATGCAATTGTAGACCGTCGTGTCGAGGTTCACCTCACTCATGTACCCGGCGATCTCTTGGACTGCAGCGGAACCGTTGACACTGTAGGCCTCGTCTGGATGGACATTGCGTATCAGCTCAGCAGCATCCGCTATCTGACAGAGGCCATTCGACACATCGTCCAATAGCGAGACCGTTTCAAGCGGGCCGCACGCTGCTAGGCCATCCAGCTTTTGTCGGCTCTGCTTGACAACATCTGCTGCCAAGACCGGAAAGTCTTCGGCTGAATCCAGGCCCTGGATTCCCAGGAGGGGTCCCTGCAGGCTGTCGCAATTAGCTCAGACCTCTCTCCATGAAACCCTCTGCCAACGGATCATGAGTTGCCTTGACAATCTCAGTGATGGAATCGGAACGTTGACTTCGGGTGCGCTCGCAACAGACAACATCTTCTCGAAAACTACACTGCGTTCGCTACGAACTCGGGTGCAAGAAAGAGTTACGAAATTACACATGAGCTTGCCGAATGTGCAGTATCATGTCTGCAGGTGCAACGGCTGCCTGCCCCCTTCCACATTGCCCTGTCTTGGTTCGACTTCTTTTGACTCTCCGGCCTCAGACTTGCTCTTGAAGAAGAAGGCACGGGAGCCACTTCTATACGGCTGAAGGCAATCCTGCAAGAACAAACCGATGACACCAGCGCTTGTGCAGGCCAACCGAAGAGGTGTTCGTTGCCTCCGCTCGGCGGAGAAAGTTCCAAGCTGCTGCAGCACCGTTGACTCGGCCTTGGCCACGAAGTTAGGGACACAAGGCCCTACGCCACTGCGAGCTTCTGAAACAGCCGAGTGTTGCGCGAGGATACCGCAGCCCGGCATTCAAACGCAGCATTGGCACAGCCACCGCGTCGCGGCAACAGATCTGTCAATTGCTCATCTTCAGATGTCTAACCTGTCTTGCCACAGCATTGCAAGCTAGAAGAAGACAGCAGGGTCACGCTTTTGCCGTTGTCTTCAGGCTCGAAGTGGCTCTGCTGGCGATGCTAGTATATGCAATGTGCATGCAGCTTGAACCAGAAAGTCCAAACATTTGTTGCAAACGGAATGATGCAGGCTGAAACGGCTGGGTGAAGGACACTGTGAGAAGCATTGCTCCAGCTGAGAAGCCACAGGCGAGGATGTGCAAGCACCTGGCAATCGGCTTCGTTTACACATTCGGCGTGTGCAGATGCAGAGCCATTGCAAGGCTCAACCTGTGTCTCCTCAGTGCCGAGGCTTGCTCTAGGATTCGCGGCAGAGCCTGTCATGTCTTGCTGATGCAAGTCAAGTTGGAGAATGCGGGTCGTTGAGCGGTCTGTCCGCCTCACCCAGCTTCACGGTCACGAGAATCCAAGCTGACGCCACCACGACCCCCATGCCTCAGCAGGGCTCTGAATCTCCTTAATTGAGCATCCGGTCAATCGGCGATTGGAATCATGTGAGGACCGTGCTCAGCGGCAGGAAATCCGAAAACCGCTTTGCCTCACGTCGTCGGGTTTCTAGCTCTGCAGTACCAGACGAATCCGGTACTGTACGTCCCTGCCACAAGAAGTCGCTCACATCTCTCCTGCCTGTGAGGACAAGATCAGGCCCACGATCAGCCTTCCAAACATATGGGGCAGCCACTTGCAGCCGCACTTTGTGTGGAAGAGTTTGGTGCAATGGCAGGCGTTACAGTTACAGTCACTAGAGCCCTTCAGCCCCTGCTCCAGCCCACAGCCACTGCCTTCCAGTAGCCAGGGGCAGAGCCAGGACCAACGCCTCCCGCGTCAAAGTGCTTGAAAGAGCACGGCCGTTGAAGCTTCGGCCCTGCACTGAGGCGGCAACCATCACTGACCAGCAGATGACGACAACAAGCCCGGAAACCTCTTCTTGAATCGAGTGGGCATTGGCAAAGGCACTAGTTACTTGTGGACTGCGCCCCAGGCTCCCAGGAATTTCCAGGGTTTCACCACCCAATTCGACCAATCCGCTTCAGACTGCGCCTGGAGGCTCTGTTTCACTCCTGCATCCACAAAAAAAGCTCCGTTGCATGCCTGAGACGGTGCTGGCGACTCACCAACCTAAGAGCGGGGCACAGGTGCCTCCTGCTGGGACTTCTGTGCCAAGGTCGGCACCAAGAGATGCCCGAAGCCGATGGCACGAAGCCAACATCGCAACCTGAGGGGTGCAAGCTCCGAGCACGGAAATGCTAGGAGTGGTGCCTCCAAGGACCCAGCCCGGACGAGATGAGTCGCGTCATTACAGGCGATGTCTCGAGGATTCGGATGCACTGCAGGACCTGAGCCCAGATTTGACCAGGAGCACCGTCAAATGCAGCTCAGAGAGACCTCAGGGACATGCCAGCACGTAGAGCTGCATTAGCTCCAGCACGAAGAGCGACTGGCCTTCTGCCATTCCGCCATTTTTTGCTTTGCCTCGGAACTTTATCGAATTAGAGCGGCAAAACCCCCAGAGTTGGCTTTTCTGTCTTCGCCCCGGGCTGTTGGGCCGAGCAGGTACACCGACAGGGCCTCGGCTCTCCGACAAGAGCGATGTGTCCAGACCTCGCTCTGCTCCGAGGTCAATAGAGAAGGTTCATATCACGCATTCAGAGGTTCTGAGATGCCGCTCGAAAATTTCGAATTTGTGGGCTTGCCGTGTGCGATTGTACAGTGCGGGAGCGTGCACAACTGCACTAAGCCACTAAGCTTGGGCTCTCTGTTTGGGGACCCGCTACGGGTTTCTCATCAAGAGGAGAAGCGAGCAGCACATTGTGTCGAACCGGCGCTTTGCACTGCTAACTGGAAGCTCTGGGGCGTGCTTGATTGCCGGGAACAGGTTGCGAGTGCTAGGGGCCGAGGACAGACTTCGCATTTAGAGTTTACGCGACACCGCAATTCGCATTCGGAGCTGAGTACGTTGATCTCCCGAAGCTGCCACAGATGCGCAGATGAGCCAATGACCAGACAAGGAGAAGGGATCTCTACGATGAAGCCCTTCGATAACATCACCTGCCAGCTGCACACACGCAGGTGCTTACCAGCTGTGCATCTCATGAGCCTGTCTGGTCCACCAGCAGCATCGGAAAGAGCGCCTCTCCCACAAGCCTGGGCTTTCGAGGCTCGCAAGGCTTGCAGGCAGCTTGCACGAGGCGCATCCGGGCCTGTCGAGGAGGAAGGCCGGCAAGTACCACACCGCAAAGACCAGAGGCGTGTGCACGGCAACCTGCCGTCAGTGACAGGGGGCCATCAAACCACACGTCACTCGACACCAAGAGGCTGGCATGGATGAGCGAAAGCTTCAGTGTGGCCCAGTGTGGCGGCAGCGGCCTGAGAAAACGGAATTCCCAAGCTGGGAGGCCTCCGAAAGCCTTATTTCGAGGGCCGCACGTGGCTTCAGACAAGCCTGACACCAGTTGCATGAGGCATGGAGCGCTAGAAGGGGGTGTTCTCCGACTCCTTCCCAGCATCAAAGGCCCCAAGTCAAAAAACAGATCGGGTTGCCCGGAGGGCTTTCTTGTCAGCGAATCATAGTACATCAGCAGCAACTGAAAAACAGCAGGACTTGCGACCTTGTTTCCGGCTAACTTCTCAGTGACATGACACAGCAGCACAGCTTGGCATGCCCACCCAGCTCTTCTGTCATCGTGCCGAAGAGGCGCCTGAAGTTGGCAACCAGGCGGCTACTAAAAGCATGCATCGTCTCCGCAAGCTCCCGCCTATGGCAGTTGATGGCACTCACAAAGAAGTTCAGAGAAGCTCTCCTCAGCAGCTGTCACGGATCTGAACAGCGCCAGACGTGCGAACTGCTGGAAGAAAAGTGTTCTGCAATGAGGAGGGCGCTGCACAACGTCCGGCATGAGGACCTTCCCAGATAGCTCATGAAATCGAAAGTTGTTCCGGGACTGCTAGGGAGGAGGCATTGGCAACGCAGCCCTCCATGAAGGCGAATCCCCAGAGGTGCACATAACCAATAAACAGCTGCATCACCTTTGTTGGGGTGAGGAAGCCCAGAATCGCAAACATTGACAAGAAGACTTCTCCGAGGCGTCTGGCGAAGGTGATGAACGGGTTGGCACTCATCAGCGAGGCTCTCCCCTGCTGTGACAGGTGAAGCACCTGGCACCGGTTTACACGATGCAAGCGGCGTGGCAGCAGCATGGCGGCATGGCGCAAAGAAGTCGTCGGACAAGGCACAGGTCCGGCGAGAAGGCATAGCACTAAATGGCCAACGTATGAAGGAAAGGCCCTCAGCAAGGGCAAAACACAGGCACCATTGCACGCTCCCAAACGCGGATGCCCTGGGTAGGAGACACAAGCTGCAGCAAGGCCACTGCGATGCGCTGAATCCGCTGCCTCAGTGCCCCAAGGCAATACTACCTCTGGCAAAGCGACGGCTACAGGGGCCGCACCATGTTTGCAAGATGCTCTCGCACAGGTGGCTTCTGGCAGCAACGACCAGGGTCCGGCATGCCTGTCTTGGTGCACTTGTTTCGAGTCAGAGAGCAGCCAGCAGTGCTAGCCCATGCTAGCACAGCAGCCTGCCAACTTCGCGAATTCTGGCCGCACCCAGTGACCGCCCCAACTAACAGCAGCCCCAGCACCTTCCGGGCAGTCCGGCAGAGTCCGACCGAGTCCGCAAGTGCAGGGCATCAGCTACGAGTAGGTCAAAGGGGTGCAGGGCCGAGCAGTTCAAAGAGCGGCACACAGCTAAGGATGCCGACCCTTCAGACTTCAGGTGAACACTCACTTCAAAAAGGTCTGGAGTTCACAAGTGACATGTGTCTGCTGACATCTGTTTGTGTACGTTAACTGTCCGACTCGTTGAGAGCAGAGCGGCCCCATGATTTCCGAGCCCCTGGCAAAAACGATCATGCAACACGCCAAGACACCATACCTGGCGAGTGCTCAGGGGTCGTGCGGCTTCTGCACAGCGTGAGCTTCTGGGATAGCGGCCCAAAGAGAAAGGCCAGGAGGTCCTCTCTGCGCAGTGGACGTCGCATCGGCTTGCTCACACAAAGCACCGCAGCAGTCCAGTATGACGTTCACCCCAGCAGAGGGAAGCTCCACGGAAGACCTTGCCGTCGGCTCTGGACTGCTCTGGGCCGGCAAGGCTCCCGCTCCCTCCAGCCTCGCTCCTCTTGAGCGAGAGCTCTCGTCACTCGAAGACCTGCAGTGCACATGTCAGGCGAGGAGGCTCCAAGGGTAGGCTCTGAGGCTCCAGCCACGATATCAGCATAACGACTTCTGGAGCCACGGCCTCGCTGGCTGCAGAGCCGAGGACAAAAAGCTCGGCGTCTCAACAGATCTGCCTGGATCCAGGGTAGCCTGGGCTTGTCGAAAGCACTCTGCACACCGCTGCGGCTGTATGTCTGACATTCAAGGCATCGGCACCCGAGCCAGGGTCCAGCGACCCAGGTAGGAAGGCAAACCCTGGCAGCGATCTGCTTGAAACAAAAATCCCTGGAGAACTCAGCTGTAAACTTATCTGAATGTGAGCCTTCATTGAAAATTGGCACAGGCGTGCATCTCCATAAACATTTGCATTGAAGGGAAGCCGTTACAAAAAAAACATCTTGCGGCATGGCGGGTTTCCTTAACCTCACATGGGCCGCACTTTCTGCATTCAAACAAACGAGCCCGTCACATCATTATTGTTTGTCACGATTGCGTGTGTTCGCTCTCAACGTGAACCAAAGATGCTCCCGGCTTTTTGTTCGCTGCCAACGCTCATGGTTCTCATAAGATCCAGCGGGTCGAACATCGCTAGGCACAAACTCAACCGTGGCGGGCAGACCAAGAAAGTGTAGATACCCGCCACGTTGGCACACAGGAAGGTCAGCATGCTCAACAAGGAGCGCACCTTTGAAAGACTGTGCCAGGCCCTCTAACACTACCAGTCAAATGTTTAGGAAAAGCTCGGGATTCAGCAGGGTTGCCCTGCAAGCCCATGATGTTCAGCAGATCCTCACCACGTGATGTTCTGTGCAAGTGTGGCTTTCAAGCTTTCTCCCCTGCCATTGGAGCCACAGTCCCTCGCCTCTTCCGGGTCCACCTCTTCCTGCCGTTGCCGCGTGTCGACCTGTTGCTCACCGATCCCAGAACGGGGGAGCTGAACTTTTGTCCGAGATCCGACAAGTGCTGCCTGAATTCCCACTGAAACGGTGGACTCGTGAGAGTCCGTCGTCGTCTCCTCCAGGTGCCATGGAGAGCTGGGGCAACTTTCCCACACAGCTGTCCGTTCAGTTGCACGCAAGCCTCGCCGGCCACTGGCTGAAGCTGTACATCCACAAGCGCAGGTGCTGCACCTCGGTACACAAGCGATGCCAATGAGGGACCACCGCATCCAGAGCCTTGGTGGTAGGGCAGACAACCCACGTGCATGTGACGAGTCTCAGAGCCGGATCATGGTAATGCTATCAACTGAAATTTCAACCTGACAACACACTGCTGCATCGAAAAACTCTCGAGGCAGCCTTCACTTTGTGAAGATGCTGCATCTGCTGGCAGCGAACTTCGCACCTCGGAAAATAGGATGGCACCCCAAGATCATCCCTTCCTCCCCCGCCCCCCTGAGCTCCCAGCAGCAGTAAGGAAGGACAACAAGTATATGAAAGCTATGCCTGCCAGCAGCAGATACTGACAAAGAACTATTACATTAGCTTCCAAGTGATAGCCGACATGGGAGCCCTCCAAGGCCTGCCACAGACAAGCACTCCCCGATCAAGATGTCAAAGGTCAAGGCAAGAACCTCATTCCACGTCTTTGTCGCAGTTGCAAGAGTCTTCAAGGCTAAACCACACCCAATCCGCACCTTTAAAGCCAACATGACACGACACTCCCAGCTGTTGTGCTCCTGTTAATGCGCACACACACACACACAGCGACAAACCAACACCTTGTCCTGAGATACTCTGAGACCGGCACGTGCCACGCTGATCCGAATGCGGGCCTGTGGGCGCAGGCCAAACTGAGCCTAGACTCCTAGACCTCAGGGCTCGCGGCCGGTGGCCCCGCCTGGGTTGCCTCCCGAAGATCGAGCGTGTGGCCATGATCGTCAGGATGGGAAGCAAGAAACCTCGGCGGGAGAGCAAACGGAAAAACAGAGCCAGAGGAAAGGCGAAGCATGGAAT